CTCAGTCTCAATTGCAAGGCTCTCAAAATGCTTTCATTTGAAAACTTGATTTCTATCCATGGCAATAACAATGTTTAAAAGTGCCCACAATTACATATTCTTCAATAAACAATTCTCGTCTTCTTTCCATTTTAGCCACCAGATGGTGCTACTTCCTTACATTTCCTAAACATAGCAACTTGAAGGAACTTAGTCCAGTAAGATTTAAGTACCCTGTGTCAATATTGAAATTGGAAAACTGTTATGTAAGACTTTGTAATGGAATAAAAACTATTATAAATAGAAACTTGTCAGTTGTAGTTGAAAAACCAGTTGTAAGGCATTTAGATGTTTGACTTTTAGTCATTCTTGTGGATTTAAACAAGAAGTAGGGAAAGCCAAGTGTTACATGCAAGCTGTGGTGATAGAGAGACCAGGCAATCTCTAGAGACTCTACCCTTTTACTTGGGTGGCGCCTTATTCCTAACAGGTAGATGAGAGTAAATGTGTTCTCATCTCTTAAACACTGCTTCATTAAAAAACAAAAAAAGATTACAATGATCTTAGAACTATAATTTAGCCTTTAATAAAGATTTGTGAAGGTCTTGTAGTATTCTTCCCCAATCGCAAAGTGTAATGTGGTCTCCAAAATAAAGAGAATAACATTTATCCTGAGCCTGGAGTAACCTTGGAAACGGAGGAGATGAAATGAGGACGGGGCAGGTGGCTGGGTCCGTGGATCACGCTCATCGGGCTGTGGCAGATCAAACATTCACTTTGCTCCCCCACATTTCCTGGTCCCTCTGCAATTAGATGGGTCTAACGGACTAATCTCTGAGTGACTAAAGGAAAGGAAAGTCTGGTAACTCATAAGGGAGGTCTAACATGAACAAAATATAAATTTTTGGTACGTTAAGGTATTGAAAATTGGGGGTTGACTGTAACCCAGGAGCACATGCCCAGAATAAACATTCTCTCTGCATAGCTGTGCTGCTCTCCTACATGGTTTCCTGCCAATGCACTGCTTGATTCTGTTTCAGATTACTTGTCTTTGGGCCTTTGTTAGGATATAAATTTTAAGTGAGTCTTTATTCATCTTTATTACACATTGTACTGGAATCCTTGACTTCTATTTTCCTCTCTTTACTAGGAATAAGTACAAAAATTTCAAGAGAAGGCATTTTACCATGAGCTTTGTAGAACTGGTTGGAGTTCCAATAACATGATTTTATAATTTGTGTTATGTAAACTTTATAAGCACCAGTTTTCTCTTCTCTAAAATGAGAATAATAAAGTCACCAACCTTGTAAATTTGATGTGAAGAGTGATTGAATCAGACAATATATTTTCAGTAATTTTTAAAAATTAAGAATATAATTTCCTTTTTTCCTTTTCTGAGCTCGTGACTTCTACCTTGGTTTTAAGGAGGTTTTAAAGAGTCTTCCACCTGTGTGGAATGAGGCTCTGGGGGGGAGGAAACATGCCCCCTGCATGTGCTGATTTGAAGGATCATCACCTGGAAATGAACCATGGTCAGGTGGGGGAGGACCTGGCTTTCGCTGTTGTTCATGCTGCATCTCCCATTGACTTTCTGCTCCACACAGTCACCCAGAGACACCGACGGATGGAGCCGCACCATCCCAAGCATGCAGCTTCCTCAGGTGTTCTGCTAGGGGAAGAGAGAAACTTGCAAAATTTGCATGGGCTTTTGAATACCTTTGTCTGAAAATAATACGGTTATATCCACCAACATGTCATTGGCCAGAACTAATCTTTTGGACCTGTCTAATTGCAAGGGGGCTAGGAAATGTGGGAGAACAAAAGTAATCTTCGATCTGTTTCTGTCACAGCCTCATGAGCATGATTCACACACCTGGCCACCTGCCCTCTCCTCATTTCAGCTCTTTCATTTCCAAGGTTTCTTTAGACTCAGGGTAAAGCTTTCCTGAACTGCCTTGGATCCTCTGTAGTATAGACCGACCCTGAGTTACTGAGCATCTGGCTGGAGAGCTATCCAGAGAGAGTCACCTTAACAGAACAAGAGGCCTAGTGGCCAGTATTGCAGAAGAGACCGGGGCCAATGGAAAGCTCATCCAGACCTAGAGCAGTGAGCTGGACCCCCATGAGACCAAGGCAGCCAGGAAGCACTACCAGACCATGGCCGAGGCTAGGGAGACCAACTCACATTTATACCTGCCTTAAACTTCAGGCTTAAATACCCCCAGGGTAAGTAACATCCTGGTGAATAAAGAATATTGTACTAGAAACTAGAAGTGGCAAAGGACATTACACTCATGACCCCTGATTCTTCCCTGCTGCCATGAGGTTGTGAAAGCTCCCCCTCTGTGCCCTCACGTGAAGGGACACCATCCTTAGGGAGACAGCTAGGAGAATGGAGATCAAATAGTGACTGGGCATTTTTACTCTAGGGAAAGGAACATTATGCTTTTAAAAACATTGGATTAAGTTAAATTTAACTGGAATTGAACAGTTAATTTTTTCCTACTCAGATGTAGGGAATTCAGACAGAAGATCAAAACAATTGTAGACAAAACAAAACAATTACATTTTATGTGTATATATAGATACCTCTGTGTGTGTGTGTGTGTGTGTGTGTGTGTAGATATCCACAAACATACACACATAAAATGCATGTAAACATACATGTATTTTTTATATGTATGCTCCCAGACTGGAGCATGTAATTATTGATGCAAGGTATTTCAAAGATATCTTTCCTTCTGCCACGGGTTCAATAGGTAAAGTTGTAGTCTTCGTGTTGCTTTTGTTATCATTTGTTATTCAACAAACATCTATATATCAGGCACTGTTCTATGTTCTCGGGATGTTAGTGAACAAAACAGACCACAATGTCCAGCCTTTTGAAGCTTATATTCTAGAGTAGTAGAGGTAGACAATAAAGACAGTATTCAAGGAAACAAGACATAAATATGATATGCTAGGAAAATAGGATGTTGTATGGTAATAAATGGCATGGAGAAGAGAAAATGTAAGGGAGAATGGGAAGTCTGGGATGTGCAGGAGGTGGTCAGGGTAGGTAGGCCTCACGGGGACAGTGAAGTAAGGCAAAGCCTGGAGGGAGTGAGGGGCGGAGCCAAGCAGGTATCCGAGGAAGGGCCCTCCCACCGGGAATGGACTAGCCAGAGCACTGATGCCCACTTGGTTTGGTCTCAGGACTCTTTTACACTCTTACAATTTGTTGAGGATGCCAAAGAGCTTTTGTTTGTTTTTGACTTTTTAGATGAAAGGGTCCTGGAGACCTACAGAGATCCCTGGGTCATCCTTTGAGAACCACTGAGCTGGAGCGAAGGCTCTGAGGAAGACACATGACATGTGCCTGGTCAGTTGTGCCAGGGTTCAAGGAGGCCCTCATGACTGGGGAGTGGCCTCGGGGAGAGAGGCAGGGGAGGAGGTCAGAGAGGTGACTGATCACATCGGGTAAGGCCTTCCAGGATACTGTCACACACCTGACGTTTTACTCTTAGGGACATGAGAAATCACTTAGGGAACTTGGAGCAGAATTGTAGCAATGATCGAATGTAAGTTTTCAAGAGGACACAGTGGTTGCCATGTTGCCTCTAGACCAAAGGGAACAAGAGTACATACACGCTGGGAGACTGGAAAGAGGCTGTCACACTAATTCAGGTGAGGGCATCCATGCTTACCAGTTAACTCTAAATAGATCCACAGACTCACTACACACTCCTTGTGTTGTTAAAGGCATGTTATTACCCTCTGACTGATTCACATTCAATGTATCTTCTTACTTCCCTTTCCCTCATAGTCTTATGTAAAGACATTGTTATTTCTAAATTCCTTTAATTTTCTTGTTAAAAAACAATACAGAAAAAAAATCATTTATTTTCCCAGCTCCTTTTTAGCCAATATTTTCAATTCCCCACTCTTTCATCAGCAGGCTCGTGTTTCTAGATCTTTTAAAAAATATAATACTTTGAAAGGCAATTATGAGTCCTTTTGTTAACATTTTTGTTAATCATTTTTCATTTATTCATTTTGGCTCCATGGTTTTTAATCTTTTTGTTCTTTTTATCAGACATATTTTTCTACAAATGAATGTCTTGCATTTTAAATCAGGTCTTTCTTTGACTTCAATTCTAATACGAATTTTTTTCTGAATACATTTTTTGGTATGTGAATTCATTATAAAGTAAAAATAGAGGTTTCTTTTCTTTTGGTACTTAAAAAAATCAAATAAGCCCATCATCTGCTATGATTTAATTAGAATGCAGTCACTGTTTCTCTGCATTTAAAAAATTCTAGTGTAATATTCATCCATTTCGAATCTCAATGTTATTTTGAAATATAATTTATTATGCAACATTGTTCTCTATGTCTATTTCATCCAGTAGATTATAAATGCCTTGAGAACAGGCTTCACCAATCTTCCTTTATACACCAACCATTTTCTTATTCTCTGTTGGCTCATGAAAATATGGTCAATTTAAGCATTTATTCATATTATTTCTTATTCACTTTTGTTTTCCACACTGAGGCATTTGAAGAAGCTTTATTAAGCCTACTAAAATTTTTTTAAAATATGGTTTTTAAAATTTAAGTGGAATTGAGTGGAGGTGGAGATAGTCTTGAGAATTATTACTCCAGAAAAGAAATTTTGGCCTATTTTTAATCTATGGACTTAATAAAATAGGTGAACTATTTCGGTGTGCTCATTAGCTTGAACCAAAGATTACATGAAGCCTTTTATCTCATGTAGATAAAGAGTAAAAAGGTACAAACTGACTTATTGAAAATCACTAACAATTCTACAGTTTAAACAAAAAAAATATATAAACCTACTTTTATTTCTAACAGTTCAAACTAACTCTTACATGTACAGAATAAAGTTAAAAAGTATCATATCTGCTTGACATCACTTTTATTGCATGTTTGATTTTATAATTTTTTTGGTTTGTTTTGCAATTTAATATTCTTCCATCTTGTAGGCTAAGCAAAAAGTATTATGAATCTTTTTTATTTTTACTTGGATGGTGTCCTCTCCCTCTTACTCTCCCAAAGGAAGGGAGGCATGATCAGCAATAGCTAAGGGCATTTGCAAAGCCAGCTTCCTGCTCAGGAGAGAAGCTATACTTTTAGTCCTAGTTACCTATGTATACACTCAGAGAAACTTCTCTCCTAACAAACTATGTAATGATCTCTGAAAGCATTGTCTTTGAAATTTCCATTTTAGGTATTATATTATTCTTAGTCCATAGAGGACAACTGCTCCACATGTAGGGTGTCCCTATAATTTATTGTGTAAATTGGGACAGTTCTGAGAATTAGAAGGTGTACTGCTAATAGTTACCTGAGGACAATGAGTGTAAATCATGACTGTCCCCAGCAAACCAGAGTACCTAGTCATTCTAGAGACAGGTGTTGGGAAGCACATTTTCCCATAGGTTCTTGGCATCCTAGAGGGATTGAAATCTCCAGAACAGTATGGAAGAAACGCTTTAATCTTTTCCCTGCCTCTTCTCTCATTCCTCCCCTGGGGGAGGAGTAGCTACTTTGCTGATTGATGGGTTTGAGAAAAGAGACGGAGCAAGTAATCTCCAAATATAACTACAGCCAAAGCAGCCAATGTGATGCTCGATACTTCTAAAAATAAAGATTTTCCCAGATGCTTGTTGCAGGAGTTTCTGATATTATATAAGAAGATAATTTTTCACTTAATAAGTCTAATTTTAAATGTCCGTATGGACTTTGGGAAAGTTAAATTTGAACACATCCTTCTCTTCACCTCCCTCTACTGTGTCTTTTCATAATCTTCAGGTAGCATGTTATTTTCAAGGAAACATTTCATCTCATTTTTATGTATCATCAAAAGATACCTTCTCTGTTTCTGAGAATTGTCTGTTTCATTGAATTTAAATTGAGCTCTTGCCTTGTGAATCCACTAATGGGGTGTTATTAAGTAATAAATCAAGTTCCATCTAATTTATTTTATATATTTTATATATTCTTGAGCTATACTTTTTGTTAATCTAAATTTTAAGATCTAACTGAAACTATAGAGCCCAAGTTGGGAAGTTTTTGTTTCATTTTTGCTTCTTTTAAAAACTTCCCTACAGAAGAGTGCAACCTAAGTATACATTACTTTTGAGCACTTTATAGATCTTTCTATGGAAATGAATCTTTTCTTTTTAAAACAGCAGCAAAAGTTCCTGAAGGCAAAACTAAATATTAACAAACACCTATTGTCCAAGGTTTGAAAAAATAAGGTCCCAATAGTCATAAAAGATGCAATGCCATCAAAAATATATCTTTCCGAAGATGAAACATCTGCAATTGTATGCTGCTGTATTAGCCAGCATTATGCCTAGCTCTGAAATCTCTCCAGACTCAGCTATTATTTCAGGGCCAAAAGACGCCAAGCTCCACACACCTGACTATTTGCTGTGACTCTAAATCAAGTGTCAGTCTGTTCCTTTAGCTCTTTGGGAGTTAATTCAGTTGATTTCTCTGAAGTTGAGGGACCTGTGGCATCCAGTACTCTTTCTTGAGAAGGCGGATCCTCCCAACACTTGAGCTGAAGGATCTCTAGGGTGAGGTATCAAGCAGGCACAGAGACTGCACTTGAGTCTAAGAAAGAATACTGCCTCCACTAAATTGATTTAGTCATAAACCCCTTCATACTGTGAAATTGCTCTACTGGAGTCACTAGTCGGCCTTAGGAGTTGTCTTTCCTTGGTTCTCATCTTTGACAGTTCATCCTTTTCCTTAAATGTTTGTGGTCTCTTATCTTTAGCTACACTGTATTGCCCTCCCAACTCTCTCATGATTTATGTTTTCTCTTTCTGTTTTTGGGTATTTTTCTCTCCTTCAGTTTTGGGGTAGTCCTCAGATTCCATCTTTTAGTCTCATCTCTTCTCTGTAAATATTTTCCTTCTGTGTCTCAATCACCACCTCAACACAGAAGATTCTCAAATCTACCTTTAAAAAAAAATTCCTATCTGCTAGACGCCTCCATCTTGAGATATCTACACCTCAAAGAGGACTGTCTGTTACCATTTGTATGCACCCTTTGTCTTTCTTCCTCTGTATCTTTCCTCTTGCTATTCCCTCCATCTGGAGTTTGCAATTTCAGCATGTTCAAATTCTGCTTATTTCAAGCCTTAAATGTCACCTCCAGCTCAAAGCTTACACAGATTTTCTTAACCACATTTGATATCTTCATGTTTTGAACTCACATGACATTCTAGGTATATTTAATTTATGGAACTGATTTTATGCTGTATAATTGGTAGGTTATTTATGTAACTGTCTTATACTGTGGTTCATAGCTGACTCCTAATATACTATATACATATTAGGAAAATGCAAGCTTCCCCCCTCTATAACTGAGCTGATTATCCTCACAAGCCACTACACCCTTGATGTGAATAAAGTGCAGCAGTAAATGGCATTTGGTCTCACACTGTCTTTGTAAAGAAATGTATGAGTGGGTTTCTGTACATGTTTTTCCTGACCTTACCCATTGAGGATAAATGTTTCACATGTGTAACATTGGGGATGGAAAATCTCCACACTTCAAGGTTCTTCACTGCTCTGAGAATCAAACTGGCATGAGCCAGGAGAAAAAAACAAATTTAATTTCCTCCATATGCTAACCCCACATACAGGAGCAGTTCAAAGACAGAAAGGTAAAATGAGGTATATATGCCATCCTGAGCTGAGGAGTGGGAGAGGGGCTTTGGACTTCAGAGGGGAGAAAGGCAGTTCACACACAGGACAATAAGCAGAGCAGATGTTTGATAACTATATATTTGCCCTGCCATCCAGATATGTCACTCAGATAAAATTCTAATAACTCTTATCCTGGGGGAAGAACCCAATCTAGATTCTTCTAGGTAGTTAAAGGAGGGGCAGAAGTTTCTCTTGAGACCTCAGGGTCTTGATTGCCTTCAGCTCAAAATAGTCCACATGCCAAAGTGGCACATTTTGGGGAGATTTGTTCTGCACCCCTTCAGCAGCAATACACAAAACCCAGTGCTCTGAGACCCTTCTTGTGGATATTTAGTATTTTGCTCTGATTTCCCTTTCCAGCTTTTACCCTGAAAAGTCCTAGAAGAAGGAAGAAGTTTCTCATATAATCAAAACTTTGCATTCCTTCTGCTCAAGTGTCCTGTTTTTGCTTTATGACCATTGTCATTGTTTGCTCAAGGTTTTGTCCAGCCCTTTTCCTTGTGGCTACCAGTCTACTGCAGATCACTAAATCCTCCTCTCTCTCTCCCCAGGTAGGTGCAAAGCTTGACTCGATTCCACAGGGGAACTGTAGGTCCCTCCAGCAGTGAGAAGCACAGTGCTTTGTTCCATACTGCAGCTCTCTTTTATCTAGAGCATGAGGGCTTTTAAAGGGAGGAACCAAGGAGGGTCAGTAGATGGTTCCACCCTGTCTCACTCTGTCCTTGTACCCGTTCCCTCTAGTCTTCAGATGCTGGAGCTCTATCTACCTACACTCCTTTCATATCCTCCAATAACTTCTCTCTTACCCAGTCTCTTTCAGGAAGGCTGAATTCACCTGACAGATCTTACAGATTAGAATTCTATCTGCAGAGCAGATTCACAGTCCTGGACTTCATAAAGATCAGACTATACATCTGAACTTCTGCTCTGGTGGCCCCCAAACATACTCTGATGTTAAGCAGCTGCTCTACCAGGGACTCACAGACAGCCTAAGTGATGCACTCCACTTGAGTGGAATAGTCTCTGCTCTGATCCATACAAACATGGATTTGCAGGTAGAGAAATCTTTGTACAAATGCACAGAAATATACTACTTTTAGGGTAATGAGGATACAATGAATCTTAAATTCTCTTGATATTTTTCCATATTTAGTGTGATGATCATTAATCAATTTTAAAATAAAACAACTATCTTTTAAAAAGAAAAAAAAAATCAGTACTCATGCCTGTGGGGTAAATGACAGAATTCCCAGAATCTCCCACCTACCCTTAGTTCATTTACATATTAATGAGTGTTTATCACTGCAGAGCCTCCCATTGATCTGGGGCAAGGGGTGGAGAGAAAACAGCTACTCTCCCCTCCCCTCTGTTGCTGGTATGTAATTTGTCTGGCATCTGCCATTCACCAAGGACCCACCAATGGAGTTCTCCCAGAAGGGGCGGGCAGAAAGGAAAGAGTGCATGAGGTGGTGCAGCATGAGCCATGAATGGAGGAGATGGATGGTGCTGAGCCTAGCTAGCAAATTTGAGTAAGCTGTGAGCAATGAAGGCAGTTTCTCCTAACCTATACTTTCCCTTGACTTATTTCAGTTTCACTGGTTTCATAGGGGGTTTTGCCCCAGGCCAGGAACACCCTTCCCCCTGGAGTTAAAATGCCATTATCCCTGGTATTTTAATTAGGAGATATGTTTCCTCTGCCTCCCCTGTCCCCATTCTATGTGTATGTACACACACTCATACACACCCCCACATACATTAGACTAAATTTCTTGGGCACCATGCTGTGAATGTGGTAAACTGTTGTTTTTTGAATCCAAGTGTTAAGAGCTCTATAAACCTTGGCACAATGGACTGAATGTTTGTGTCCCCTGCAAATGCATAATTTCCAGTGTGATAGTATTAGAAGGTCATGCCTTTGGGAGATGATTAGGTCATGAGGCTGGAGTTCCTGTGATTGAGATTAGTGCCCTTATAAAAGGGACCCTAGAAACTTTCCTCACCCTCTTTTTGCTATGTGCATATTACAAAAAGAAGATGGCATCTATAAGCTGGAAGAGGGCCTCACTGAAACCTGACAATAATGATGGCATCCTGATCTGACTTCTAGTCTCCAGAATGGAGAGATGTAAATTTCTGTTGTTTATAAGCCACCCTGTCAATAGCAAATTCACTATTGAATTTAGCAGCCTAAATTCACTAAGACACTTGGCTATTGATGAGACATTATTGATTTCTTTGTATCAGTAGACTTTTACCAAGCATTAAAAAACTTTTGCCTTAAGCATAATAATTTCACAGATTAAAAATACAATCTATTCTCACTTGCAGAAGTGAGATGAGTTTTCCTAAACCAGGTCTCAGAGACCAGTCACTCCTTAATCTCCAGCCTCCCTTCCCCAGATGCTTTGGGATGATATAAAAGTGTGCATCTGCAGAGCAGTGACGTGTAGTAAACAGCAAGGGTGGAGAAGTCAGAAGTCCATTT